ATCGTCTTAAAGCTACAACCGGCCCTTTGAGTGCAACCATAATGCTAATGTGGCCCGCGATGAAATTGAGTTTGACACCCCTGATTTAGACATTCAGCAGGTGAAATTGAGCCAAAATGTGTCCACCTGTAGAATGTTAATCCAAATGTAACTTTCATTTTATGCTCTGTTTTATGTCTCTGCACTTGAGGGAAATATATGGTTTTAAACATGGTCTAAATCAGGGGTGTCAAACTCAAGGCCCAAATCCGGCCTGTGACCTAATTTTATGTGGCCCCACAAGAGCTTGCAAAGAATATAATATACAATACAATTGGTGTAATTGTTGAATATTTACTTTCAATTATTTGCCCTAGACTTCTGCTTTCAGACGTAGTTATTTAGGAAGATATTAACAGAACTGATACTAATCCAATGCAGGGCCAACAATGTAATATAATACATTATTTAATATATATTACATATTTACATATGTATATTTATATATATAATTAAAATTACAACCGGCCGTTTGAGTGCAACCATAATGCTGATGTGGCCCGGGATGAAATTGAGTTTGACACCCCTGCCATAGACTCACACAATTCCTAAATCAATACAGAATCCTGTACTTAACACAGGTTTCTCAGAGAAAGTGTCCACCAAACAAAATGTGAGTGTGTTTAACAACATTACAATTATTGCAGAAAGCCCTACAGTCCCAAAGCTCACACATTACACAGCCAGAGCGCGGTTAATTTGTTTTCAGGTTGCTTTTGGATAGTTATGGTTGGTTTAAAAAGCTCTTTTCACAGAACTTACATATAATATGTTTGTATACAGATGTCAGAAAGTGATATAAGACTTATAAAATATAGAGACACTGCATTTTGCCTTTGTAGGGCATTATATCTCTTGACATCCAATACAAACACATGAATGATCTCCCTCAGAGGTCTGCTGCTGATTTGACATTTTGACCATGACCCATAACAACAGCGGGCTCCGAACCCTCTCTCATGGATTAGGAAATGTGTCACAGATTGAAATGAGATATCTATGTCTTATCTTTTTCTTTTTTCTGTCCTCTTTCTGTCATTATATTGTCTCTCTTCTGTCTCTTAATTGTTGTCTGAGACACAATCCATGAGTGTCCGTGTCCGCGTCATCCTGTGTTTACCGGCCTTCACCCAACACTCCACCTCAAACACACATCTCACATTTTGGAATGATGACATTGCTTGTGCTTGCTTCTTTAATGATATTGTTAAAACTGTGTGGTAGCCATAATGTAACGCTCTCCCTCTCCCCCCTTCTCCCTTTCTTTCTCTCGTTGTTATTCAACGTCCTACCTTCTACCCTTCCACACACTTGTCCTCATCTCCATCCTGTCTGCATCTCCTCCTCCTCCTCCTCCGTCTTTCCGATCCGACACACTTCCCTCTTCCCACTCTCTGACTGCCTTTATCCCTCACACCTTTCGCTCCTCCCTCCCTCGCTCCTTGTTGGTTTGCATCCGCCCAGGCAATGCTAGGTAACGTAACCACCGAGACCTCCAGGAAGAAGGATGTCGAGGAGGTTCAGAAACGCCACCGCCTCATCCCCTTGGGACGCAAGATATACGAGTTCTACAACGCTCCCATCGTCAAGTTCTGGTTCCATACGGTCAGTGTCGGCTTCAGAAACACCGCCTACGCGCTCTGCTTCCTGTTGGCAGTGTCAGTGCCCACTTTGTGTTGCAGCGGCATCAATTACTGGCTCCCTGCCGTTAGCTTTTACAGCTACAGTGGTTCTTTTGTCATTAACCTCCTGTTCCACCCTTGCATTACCCAGCTTGACTCGGGTGGGAAAGTTTAGTGGGAGAGATGAGGAGACTGATGGAAGCAACACAGTGAGAAAAGTACACGCTGAGTGTTAAGCCCCTGTCACACTGTCCCGAAATTGACACCCGATGGACACACGAATATGGAATTGTGAATTTTGCACGAAGATGGCCCCGAACCACACACGAAGGCAACATTTACATTACATTAAGACATACAACTGCAACGAAAGTAACACAAACAATTATGTTAAAGTATTATGATACTGTACTGATATTTTCAGACTTTGTTCTTTACTTTCTCCATCTTTATATGTAGAAGATATTAAGTTTTCTCCGTCATGTTGTTTCCATAGCAACAACAACCTCCTGTCAACTCGCCTTCAAAATAATATATTATATCCTTTTCAGTTTCACAGAACACAAATTGGGTTATTTACATAATATGTTTACATGATTTTGTTGTGCAATAAAACAACCCGATGGACACACGATAAAGGAAAAGTTCAAATTCAGACAAGTGATATGAATGAAAGAAAAATTGTTTATTGACTGTTTTGGCAATGCACGAGTAATGCTTAATCGAGAAGGTTGAAAAATAAAAAGTAACCTTCAGCTAATATAAACCGAATTACCCCTACAAATTAGCATATCAATGAATGAAAACAATTTACACACAAAGTGTTTGCCTTATCTCCAAATATTAAAACACACAACTTAAATACCACGATTTTTGGTTTAAATCTCTAATTATAACCCTTTAACAATGATCTCACCCAGGCCACATTCAGTTTAACAGTGTTTATAAATATTTGTATTTCTTTGCAGCACTGTTCATCTAATTGTGTAGACTGTAGGTGTCTTTGAAGTGTGTGTGTGGCCTGTGTGTGTACTGTGTGTGCCTGTGAGCATGCCTGAAATGTTTTATATAAGCTGAACTCTGCCTCCCATACCCCAGCTCGGGCTCCTTCAGTGAAAACATCTTTAACAGCACCGGCAGGGATTTCACTGTTTATTTATGCTGAGAAAACAGTTTGACCGCATTTTGTTTCATCCCATTTTCCTCTTCTCTGGCTATTTACTCCCCCCTGTCTTCCTCCTCCCTTCACTTCTCCTCCCCTGCCCTTCAGGTTAAACGATACTATTCTACTGTGAATTTCATTACTGCACTCGTTGAACACATACTGGGTTTTTATCATGGTGAAAAATGTGGTCTTTGCCAGTTTTGTATTCAAACCTTATATTCGCTGCAGAGGGCTTCCCCGTTTAAAGTCATATTTGTCAAACTTATCACACACTAATCTGTGCATAAGGGACGGATTGACAACCCGGTCACACATTATTCAAATCTCTATACAGCGTACTACACGTAAATATTAGATTAAGGCTGTAGGAGATACCATCCCCAGTTTGGTTGTGGTTACTTTATTCTATACTTTACAGATGTCAAAGCACTTTTGTCTCAAGTTAACAATATATTGTCAGTTTTGCATTGAAGTCCACATGTTTAATTATTATTGCAGCTAAGATGTTCTCAGTGGGTGCTACTATAAGAAAATAGAAATATCTGACTGAAACCCAATATCTTCTGAACTTGTCAATGAAAACATTATACAACATTTGAATAGGCAAGCCAAGGTTAGACTTGTATTGTGATCTGAATTTTTATTTGGTTTTGATCCTGATGAGCCAATGTTCAAATACTGTACGGGCAGGAAGAGTGGACAGCTGACATGGATTTAAATAGAGAAGCCACAGGAGACACTTAATGGACATTTTCAGGCCAAGTGATATATCCGGTGCCCTAATATCAAACCACATCCGAAAAAACCACATTAAAGGGAGTTGTAATGAGGGTCAATCCTTCACTAAATAACTGTACTTTAGTACGTTTTAAGGTACTTGTATCGTAGCTCAGTATCTCCTTTTTTTGCTTTTTTATTCTTCTACTCCACCACAATTTGAAAGAAAATATTGTACTTTTTAATACTACATTTAATTAACAAAATTAGATAATAGTCTTGCAGGTTTGTAATACAAAAATGAAATCAACCAATCAATCATGATATGCTTTTATGTATTAAAGGTCCCATGTCATGCTTTTCCGGTTATTACCCGTCCCCTTGTGTGTTATGAAGGTTTTTCTGCATGTAAACGGTCTGCAGAGTCACAAACCCTGAAAGTACACCCTGTAGCGAGTAAAACTCTAACACAGAAAAGACCTGTCTATGCTGCCCCAGAACGCCTCGTTGGGGATTTCTCTTTTTCCATTGTTTACTTCTTGGGTATAGTGACGTATTTCGGGTATAGTGACGTTACGTTACGTCCGCGGAGCCGTTACGTTTGCGAGAGACCCCGGAACTCAGCCTGGGCACAGACACAAACTCCCAGCCAGGCTGCGGGTGTGTGTGTGTTTCGGGCTGGGTTTTGCTGTCTCGCAGACGGCCACTGGGCTCACAGGGAGGTGGGGGCAGGAGCTCCAACAAGCCGTTTAGGACAGAGTGAATACACACATACTATACAGAGATGCTGTATGAGAAACCAGTGTGAGTTTGGAAAATTGCACAATATATTTAGTATACCTCAACAATGGAATTATGATCAGTAGAAATGGCCATGACATGGGACCTTGAAGATACAGTACCTGCGATGATAAAAGGAAACACATATAATCATCACAGGAGACGCATAATGGACATTTTAAGGCCAATATCAGGTGTCCTTATATCAAACCACACGTGAAAATCTGCATTAAACGAAGTAATGAATGCCATCTGCTTTCCTACATTTTATAAGTGTACAGTTGCTTTTGTTGGAAAAGCCTAAATGTGTCCCCGCTGATTTCCCTCTGCTGTGGTGTTTTTTCCATAGATGGCATACGTGGGCTACCTGATGTTGTTCAACTACATTGTGCTGGTGAAGATGGACCTGTGGCCCTCCACTCAGGAGTGGATCGTCATCGCTTACATCTTCACCAACGGCATCGAGAAGATGAGAGAGGTAAACCTGCTTCCAACATGAGTATTTTTTTACACACAATCACCCACTAATACCTTTGAAACTAAAGACACAAAGCCTGTCACCATCAAGGTCACTCCTGTGCTGGAGGGCAGAGCATAAGCATTTTGTCAGTATTATAAAACAGCTCGTGATAAATATGGAAGACTGTGCAATTATTGAAAGGGAAGCAAACAAAGAGTGAAGGGCAGAGAGAAAGGAACTCAGGTGGAAATAAAGGCAAGAGACGGAGATGGGAAAAAAAATGAAGAAGTAGAGTAAATAGAAAATACCGGTATGCAGCCATATGAGACTAGCCGTGTTTGTACTGTAAGTGAATGAAATGCATTAATCATTATGGCACATCATTCTCAGCTCAACAACATTGCCTCTTAAAATATCTGCCCTGATTGTCAAACTCATACTGCCCTCTAATGGTGGTCATTATATACTGCATTTCTTTTTTTACAATATTTGTATTGAAGTTTTCAAATAAAACGAACATTACACATACATAAAAGTATCTAGGTGGCATATACAGTGTACAATCAAATGAATAGGCATGTAAATAAACCCAGGTCAGTATACAGATGATACATGGATAACAACGTACAGAGATCTGAAAGAATAGGACGTGGGCTACTACACTTTATAATCTTATTCCCGTTGCCCCTCCTCCCCGCCCCGGTCTTTGGTTTTATTGATCACCAACATTCTTTTTCTAAAACTCCTTGAAGCTCCCCCAGATATTTTCAAAAACTGCCAGCTTTCCTTTAGTAATGTATGTTTTTCTAAAGCAACAAATGCTGACAGATCCTTAATATGTGTATTCATACTTGGTTTGTTATATATTGCATTTCTACCCTTCTGTCACTTTTTTGTTTAGCTCATATCAGAGTCCTGCATCGGGTCGGGTACCCGCGGGTACTTCGCGGGTGGTATTTTTTCAAATACTTTTTTCCTGGTTCGGTTCTGGGTCAAACAAAGATGATGCGGGTCGGTTCGCGGGTGTTGCATAATAAATATATAAAAATAATAATTTAGTTTAATGTTTAAATCCTCAGACCGCGCATAATCATAACCTCTGCAGCGCATCAATCTGCTGCTGAGAGCGCCACATTCGAAATGGCTGAGGTGAAGGCGGAGCTCGGAGAATACAGCATTTTCAATATCTCTTCCTCTAGAGCGAAATCCAACGTCTGGGAGGATTTTGTTGTCACCCTAGATGGAGAAAATAACCAACATCCCATGCTTTTTGAGACAAATATGCTACTGCGTGTGTTAACAATTGCACGTTTTCACTGCTCATATAGGATATGCGGGTTCGGGTCGGTTTGCAGATCTTGTGCCGACGGGTCGGGTCGGTTTGCGGAACTAATTGGCAATATGTGCGGGTGGCGGGGCGGGTTCGGTTGTGCACGTTGCGAGTGCGGGGCGGGAAAATCAGACCCGTGCAGGACTCTGGCTCATATCTATTATGCCCTTCAATTCCTGCGTTTATAATATGAACACATATTTTCATAACTCTCTGCTTTAAAATGTTAAAATCTTCCTTGGTTTCCTCACTTATTACCCCCCAACCCTGTCCCAGATCCTGATGTCAGAGCCGGGGAAGTTGCTTCAGAAGGTGAAGGTGTGGCTCCAGGAGTACTGGAACATCACGGACCTCATGGCCATCCTCATATTCTCCGTGGGTATGGTTCTGCGTCTCCAGGAGCCGCCGCTCATGAGCTACGGGCGGGTCATCTACTGCGTGAACATCATCTATTGGTACATCCGGCTGCTGGACATCTTCGGGGTCAACAAGTACCTGGGACCCTACGTGATGATGATTGGCAAGATGGTGAGGGGATGGTGTTAGTGTGTTTTATCTAGACGCCTCACGTACTTCCTTTCCTCATTATGACTTTCTACCGTCTGATTTCTTCTTGGCATGATCCATACTGATCATAATAATAATAATAATACTAAAGCTTTATTTATATAGCACTTTGGAGCTCAACGCATTTAAACAACAGATTATTTGTTAAGAAATGTACAGCTACACGTAGCGAAATATAACATTTGATCCGGTTAATAGACACAAGGAGGTCAAATAATGGTTTCTCTCTGACAGGTAAGACACGAGATGACTTGAGTCGATGCAACAATATAAAATATAAAACCCCATAAGACCAAGTTATAGGTACAACAGAAATACAAATAAAAGTTTGATAGTAATAAAAATGCCATAATTCTAATAAAGGTTAAACAATTAAGAAAAAAAAAGACCAACGTAAAAAGAAATATTGCTATTGAAGCATGTTAGATTAATAAAATAAGATAAAATCCTTTAAGACCTATAAAATAAATCCAAGGTAGGTAAATAATAAAGAAGACAGTCCGCTGAGTCCTTAACCATAATACCATAATTACAGCCCTTGTGTTTGTATGTGCCGTGCAGGCTTGGTCCTAATGGAGCGCCTGTGCCTCTAAACGCGATTGTTTATCTCAAAGAGCACAAGATCAGAGCCTCTGATACCCACATGTAGACAAAACAAGAAAGGTGATCAAAGGCTCGGCTTCATATCTGTCTGTTCGGCTGTCTTTATATGAGATGGGCGTAAATACTCTTTGATATGAAAATCTGCTATTTAAATGAGAGAAGGGTAGAGAGGGATGGATGCAATGACTTCCGATAATGCAATGAGTCCGATAATTGGAATTTATAATACTGCAGCAGCATCAGCATATTTGAAGTCAGAGGCATTATGGGAAGTAATGAAAAACCAATACTGCGTTGTAAATAACAGTAGAAATGTTCAGCATACTTTAAGGCCTTCGACTGTTCCTCTAGCATTCATCACACCCAAACAATAAATAATGAATGCTTTTGTTTCACCAAATGAGTGCGTTTCAGCTCTCAAGAAGGACAATGCATGACACGCGTAATCCAAAAGAATACACAGAGGATAGTGTAATGTAAATAAAGGTCGGATCAGGGTGTAAACAGGCGCTACCCATTAGAGGATTACTGTTTAAATCCTCAGTCCCTGCAGTCAACATGTCAAAGTGTCCTTGGGAAAGATACCAAGGTGCTCCATGTGAACAGTATTGAATTGTGTATTAATCGCCTTGGATCAGGGGTCTCAAACTCAAGGCCCGGGGGCCAAATCCGGCCCGCGACTTCATTTCATGAGGCCCCACAAGATTCTGCAAAGAATATAATATGTTTATTATACTGACTTTTTTTCAAAATGTCACTTACTTTTTTTTGTTTTTTCAGAATTTGGCTTTTCTTTTTAAATCATTTTGTGACATTCTCACTGAAGAGACTTGCAATTATTTGTCCTAGACTTCTGCTTTCAGACGTAGTTAATTATGAAGTTATTACCCTATCTGATAATAATCCAATGCAGAGGCAATCATGTAATACAGTGTTTCTCAAACTTTTTCATACCAAGGACCACTTAACCAATAAAAAAACACTCGCAGACCACCTAACTCCACAAATATCCAAAAACACATAGTTTTTCTAGAACAGATTACAAATCGCCTGAAAATGGTACAAACAAGTGGCAACATGTGTGATGAAGGTGTTGCCCTGGGCTATATCATGCAATCGAAAGCTGAAACTTAATCTCGCTTTGGCTAATCTCTGGAGATATTCCCACGAGATTGCGGAAAACTTAAATGTATTTATTTATTTCAAATGTGAAATTTTACCAATATACTCACGGACCACTGAGGGGCGCTCACAGACCACAAGTGGTCCGCGGACCACACTTTGAGAAGCACTGATGTAATATAATACATTATTTTATATATATTAAATATTTATATTATTATTAAATGTATATTTATATAGTCTTAAAGTTACAACCGGCCCTTTGAGTGCAACCATGATGCTGATGTGGCCCGTGATGAAATTGAGTTTGACACCCCTGCCTTAGATTAAAGCCCCAGCATCTGAACATTTGAGTTAAGCACATTTGGATTTCCAGTCAAGTTTTAATTCCAGAGCAAACTAAATTGAAGTTTGATTGGCCAACCAAGACTCTTGAGAGGGTTAGTAATTAGAAAAAGCTAATACACACCATCCATCATCAGACTTTTCTAAATGCTTCTCCAGTTGCATTATTCGTTTTGTTATTAGACCTCCCTCCTTGCTTTCTTGTTTTGCCTCATTACTTGTTTTCTTCACATTTAAATGGATTTTCTTTAGTTTCTTCTCCCATTCCCTTCTCTCTTTGACGGTCCTCCTCTCTCCCCCCTCCCTCTGTTAGATGATCGACATGATGTATTTTGTGATCATCATGTTGGTGGTGCTGATGAGTTTCGGTGTGGCGCGTCAGGCCATCCTCAACCCGAATGAAGACCCCTCCTGGATGCTAGCTAGGAACATCTTCTTCATGCCTTACTGGATGATATATGGAGAGGTGTTTGCCGACCAGATTGATCGTAAGTTCAGGGCCAGAGTTTCAGAGCTCTTGAATAAACATATTTTTGGTTAATTAGGGGGAGAACATTTCCTGACTGAAGAGAGATGACCGAAAACACACCTCATTAAATATTCACTGATTCCTCAACAGGTCTACATTAAATACATATTAAAACACAACATATTGATAATAGGGAAATTCTTGACAAATGTTGCTTCCACATCACCATATCAGGAGAAACCTTTTAAGTTATTCAGCTTCGTACATTAGGACATTAGTTTTTACTGTCAGTTCGTCCTGATTTTTTGTCTCTACGTTATTTTGTATCATGTAGACTCGATAAGTGACTCAATGAATTGTCTGGGAGACAATGTCCTGAGAGAGTGCGATGTGTGCTTCTCTGTTTTTCTGTATGGGTGTAAATATGATGGTGTGTACATAATGTGAGGAGTGGCCCAAAGAGAAGAGATCTGAAATAATGTTTTCATTCTTTGTTTCAGATATGCATAGTAGGAAGTTAAAGCAAAGGCTGAATGAAAAACCCTGGCTGTCTTCAAATTACTTGCGAACTTACGGAACCTGGCGTAGTAGTGGTCCATCCAACTTTCCCCAGTGCAGTCAAACCCCCAGTAATTCAAAAGATATAGACTTCAATTTTAATCACATCTACCTATCCACCTCTCCTTCATCATCCTCACATTACCACCATGTCATGCCCACTCCCACCACTAGAGGCCACTTGAGACTAAAGTGTGCATGCGGCTCCGCGCTCTGAGGTTAAAGTTGCCCTCACGTGATTGGTTTCTTGGGTCAGCTACTGTATCTACTTTTTTCTTTAAGATCATTCAAATTGTCTGAAATCCTTAATAAATAAGGCTGCGTTTGTTTCCCAAATTGACCTACCAGTAGCTTGACCTAAGGCTATATCTCGTAAGCAACTTTACCCTGACTAATTTTGGCACTGGCTGACAAATGGCACTGTTACATGGCAGAAGCATTTTTCAAATGTGTCCTGATATTGATATGTTCTTCGTCACATCAAGAGGAACTATCAAAGTTTCACATTTTGATATTCCCTTGATGTTTCTTCTACTCATTTTATTTCTTGACTTCCTGTTAGTTTCATTTGAAGAAGTGACCCTGCCATGTTAACACCGTCTGTCACACAAATCATGTCACCCTCCCTCTTTACGCCGGCTCAGCTTCTCACAGGAGCCATCGCAACATTGCCAAAATATTTCTAACAATACATCCACCATTTAATATTAGTAAGCATTGAAATTGACAGACAGAAATAAAACACATACAAACACACACCAGAATATTTTAACAGCCACCCTCCATCATCTGTAATCTGTTTTTTCACGTGGTTCAGTTGTCAGAGTTTAAAAACCAAATTCTTTGAAGGTGAACATTTTATAAATAGAACAATTACTTCAGTTCTCTGTCTTTGGGCTGCATTGTGTGAAACAATTCAACATCAAGCAATGATGAGTGTGACTAGAATGAATATAAAAAGCGAACCAACCAAGAACAAAACGCTGAATGTTCCCCAGATAAGCCGCAGCAACTGAACCATCACAGATGGAAAAAACATACTATGTATCCTAAATACATTTCAATCAATTCAAAGCAGTCAACCATTGCTGAATGAAGCTATTGCGCATATGTGACAATATATTTGAAACATCCGCTGCATGTTTAAATATATTGGTAAACACAACTTGTGATGAGACATGATGAATGTATTTGTTGTGTCTTTTTTTTCAGATGCACATCTCTGAACATGAGCCCTTTCATTAAAGTGTCCACTTTTCCCAGTCTTTTTGTTTCAAGAAGCATAAAGGCACAATATGCTTCTTGTTTGTTTGTTTGTTTGCGAAGAATACAATTCTGCATTTTGTTTGGTATTTTCAGGTTTGCTTGTCTCTTTGTTTGTCTTGTAACCCAGTGTACAGAATGTGCTTACATTTATTTATTTGTATTTGCTTTTATTATAAGTTCAATATTCTTTGTCTTCTGTCTGTTTTCATATGTCTGCATGTCTTTCTGATTTGTTTGCATCTACTAAATTCCTACCAAAATATAATTCATGACGGCTCAAGTCCACCGATGTACTAAACCTTGTATTAACTTGTATGTGTGTGTTTTCTTTGTGGCGGTGGGCAGCCCCCTGCGGGCAGAACATCACTACAGATGATGGGGGGGTGGTGTCGCTGCCTCCCTGTAAGACGGGGGCCTGGATCGTCCCGGCCATCATGGCCTGCTACCTGCTGGTGGCCAACATCCTGCTGGTCAACCTCCTCATCGCCGTGTTCAAGTACGCACACCCTCTAATCATTTCAGTTGTTCCTCCTGTCAGCAAATATAGACCCCACACGACTTTACACACACCTCAGGACCTGAAACCAGTGGGGGAAGAAGTACTCAGATATTTTACTCAAGTGAAAGTAGCAATACTGCATTGTGAAAATACTCTTGCATTCAAAATCATAAAAATACAAAAGTTTCACCATCAAAATATACTTAAAGTACCAAAAATAAATATAACTATTTGTGCAGTATGGTCAATTTCAGACTCATATATAAATAATTGGACTTTAATTATAGATGAAATTATACTGCTGGGCAGCTTAACCTAAAATAAGATATCCTACATTTATCAGTTGATTTACATTTTGTATGAATCTGAATCAGCAAAGAAGCTAGTTTATAAAATTCTTAAATAAAAGCAGCAGAATAAAAAGTACAACATTTGCCTTCAAATGGTAGTGAAATAAAAGTATATACAGAACTAGCATAAAGTTAAAATACTCAAGTGAAGTATTTCAAACCTGGAGTTGATTAGACGTACTTTGTTAAATTCCACCACTGCCTGAAACACACTTATTTTTTCAGCATGATAGAAATAAGTACATTTCACCAAGATGCTACTTAATAAGGCAGTTTCAATATAGTCATGTTTTAAACTGGACAATATGTAGTGGGCATACCTGACTGCTTTCACCTGTTTAGAGTGTTTACCATGAACAGAGAGAGAGGGTGAGACTGGGAGTGATATGTACGTTGACCGCACTCACACTCACAGCCACACTAATTTACAGAACTTTATAATTAGGTTACTCGTAGGGCTGCTCGATTATGGCAAAAATCATAATCTCGATTATTTGGGTCAATAATTGATATCACGATTATTAAAAACGATTATCCATTTACATTGAAAACATCAATTTAGTGTTTACTCCCCACGGCTTTTTTTAAACTGCCTACAGCCACTATATCAAAAATAAGTTTGTGTTGGGGCCGCCGTAAAGCCACATTCATTAGAGCCTGTTAGCAAATGTTAATAACAGAATGAGATGGTGATTCTTCGCAGACACATTACCACGCTAATGATCTGTTAATGTGCCTCTGAATAATCCATGTAGCACAAACGATCATCCTCTTCTGCACGTTTGTCAGGGTAGTTAACAAACATACACCAATGGAAGAGAAACAACAGTTGAATTGAAGGTTTGATATCATAACATTACAGTTATTATTTAGTATGCTGGATTTTCTTTCTCTATCTGTGTCCAATGTGGTTGTGACTGTTTGCCTTATTCAGTTTCTTTTAGCTTTCAGTGGATGTAATATATCTGTTTCTTTTGTCTTCGTCTGTCATCATAGCAATACATTTTTCGAGGTGAAGTCCATCTCTAACCAGGTGTGGAAGTTTCAGCGCTACCAGCTCATCATGACCTATTACGAGCGCCCGGTCCTTCCTCCCCCCCTCATCATCTTCAGTCACATCACCATGGCGCTCAAGCATCTGTGTTGCCGCTGGCGCAAGCACGACGACGACGAGAGGGACTATGGACTGAGTGAGTGGCAGATACAAATCCAGAGTTTTCATTTATTCACATCACTTTTAAGCATTTTCATCAGGCCTTTCAGTTTTCAGTGCTGCCACATTATGATAGTTCGTTTTAGAACTTTTGCTATTATTATACTGTTACTCAAGCAGTGAAACGTGACACTTCAGCATTATCACTTCCTCAAACTCCTTCATCCACAGAACTGTTCATCACTGAGGACGAGCTGAAGAAGGTCCACGACTTTGAGGAGCAGTGCATAGAGGAATACTTCAGAGAGAAAGACGACCGCTTCCACTCCTCCAACGATGAGAGGATCAGAGTGACTTCTGAAAGGTCGGACACAGTAAACCTCTGGAGAGTTGGTGTATAAATGAGTCCAGTCTATCGGCCCGTCCACACTACAGCTTCAAAAAAAGCTTGCCGGCGGGCGTGTCTGAAGCTCGACCAACAACCAATCACATGAATCTCCCGCCCCGGTCACACAAGCACGTGGTTTGATTGACCCCCATCNTCTTTTGGATCCTTGAGTTCTTTGTCGTATTTCTACAGTTCACCTGGCAGTGATAAATGAACGAAAAAATGGACACTGTAAAAATGTTTCAGAGCAATCCATTCATTATATCCGTTTTTAAGAGTGTGCTTTTTGTCGGGGGACATCTTTCGGCCCGTCCACACTACAGCTTCAAAAAAAGCTTGCCGGCGGGCGTGTCTGAAGCTCGAACAACAACCAATCACATGAATCTCCCGCCCCTGACACACAAGCAGCGGTTTGATTGGCTAAAGCTTGTACTGGCATATGATTTGATTGGCTGACGCTTCCACCGAAAGCTTCAGAAGCTTCAAAAGTTGAACATTGCTCAACTTTTGCAGCCTGAAACGCCAGGAAAGCTCCGCTCTGCTACCCACAATTCAGTTCGGCGAAAAGCGAGGCAACGTGACGTCACCCCATTCAAAGTGAATGGGCAGACGCGTTGGAAACCGTTTTTGAAGCTGTCGAAGCTGCAGTGTGGACGGGCCGTTACTTCTTCCTTCTCTCTGTCTGTACCTGTGTACTCTCATGTTCCGAATAACCCAGCTTCCCCAAATGTTCTTTTTGGTGTCTATCTAAGGTGGGATCCTGAGTCGTGGCTGATCCTGTTGTGTGGTCCTTTGATCGTGAGTCCTGGATGGATAGTCTCGTGGATGTCATCTTCTTATTATAGACACATTGCCTTTCCACACATTTTGACTACCTATGTTGTAAAAATGTAATTCTCTTTCTCGATTTAAATGCATCTATTGCGCTTCTGTCCGTGCCTGGAGAGGGATGCCTCCTCTGCTTGCTTTCCCTGAGGTTTCTCCCATGTTGCCCCTTAAACTGTGGGGTTTTCTCCGGAAGTTTTTTCCTTTGTATGATGTCGAGGGTCTAAGGAACAGAGGGTGACGTATTGGCATACTGATATCTGTACACACTGTGGGAAGTCCCTGAGACACAAAAATAAATGTGTGATATTGGGCTATATAGAATAACATTGAATTGATTGATGATTGATTGATGATATTCCATCAAAACCCACTATGGCAGTGTTTGGTTTCCTCGATTAAGTTGTCTAAGCACGCACAAACAGCCCCACTAATTTTTCTGAAATGCTCTTGAAAATGCCAATTTTTCTCAGTCAGGCTTATGTGATAGGGTGATTACGATACTTTATATGACACAATGTTTGCTGCGTAGTAAAAACGACCTTTGGGTATTTCACATACGCAGATGTATTTTCTTTGTCGCTTCTCACTGTTTGAAGTAGTGGTGCTACAGTTTGTTAAAGCATTTTGTCAGCACACTAAATCTACACCCAATA